GAGAGAGAGGGAGAGAGAGAGAGAGAGAGAGAGAGAGAGAGAGAGAGAGAGAGATGTTATTATATCCAATTGTATAAACCTATTGTCGGCACCTCTTCAGCAGCCATTGTCTCATACAATATCAACGATATATCGTATGATTTGATTTATTTAATGGTCATTTTGCGGTCACCCTATGTTTGCCCCCATCCCCACCCCCTATACCAACGGTTAATAGTATAACCAATCTTGATAATTACAACCTGGATGATAGTTATAGAAATAAACTAGTTGGTCTTTATTGGTTTTCTACTTTATATTTTGATTTATTTGATAAATTTTAGTATATTTTTATTTTTCATTGATTTTATATATAGATTTTGAATTGAAAATTAAATTATCATTGATTTCTGGGAAAAACTGTTTTTCTTTCAATTGCAAAGTCTTTTGTAATGATTTTTTCTTGCTTTCAATTTAACGGATATTTTTTGTGAATTATGCGCTAATAATGGCATTGAATTCACGCATTGAAAGGCATGTAATGTTTTTTGTGTCCTTTACTTGGGTTTGGCCTCCTATCCCAAGAAATATGAATATGGTTTTTGTGCTCTCTCTCTCTCTCTCTCTCTCTCTCTCTCTCTTACCCGGCCATACATATGCCCCAAACTATTATAATCGAGATTTCTTTTCCCTGTCTTTTTTGCCACGAAATAAAAAATTTTAGCAATAAAATTGCTTTCTATATATAGTTTGCTGAATATCTATAGCATTATATTAAGTATTTTTACCATTTTATAATACATTAGATCGACAAAAATCTCTGAACAAATAGTTTGCTATTGTATTATAATATTGTGTATAAGAGTAGAGATAAGCCGAGAGTTGGGATAAAAAATATATAATATATAAAGTATTTCTATTAATAGCACACGAAATATGTCCACAAAGAGAGAGAGAGAGAGAGAGAGAGAGAGAGAGACTAAGAGAAAAATACATATAAATTACACGCGTGAGTGCGCGACCATAATCGGCGGGTCCATTGGACTTATACACCGGGACATATAGAAAGCACCGGTAGGTATACACTACTGTATGCATAGACTATGTCTATACATATTCAACACTAAGATGTCGAGTAACATGTATTACAATGTATTAAAATCACATTTAACTCATTCATAATAGAAGAGAGAAAGTTTGCGATGAATGTCTGTGAGTGAGTGGCCCCGACCTGAGACCCCGGTGCCCATACCGTAGAGTCTATGGGCACAGACACATAGTATCAGTAATAGACTGCCGGTGCGACTGTTGGTGACATTATAGTCGGCACAACCTTTAATGGTCGGCTCCCAGTGTTTCACTGGACTTAATACCTATGTATGCATTGTGTATATAATATTTAATAATAAAAGGACAGGTAGTTTGTGGTAGTGGTGTGTGTAGTGGTCGGGGCGGCGCCGGCAAGTATTATTTTTAGCCCCGATCAATTTTCCACTTGATATGAATCGCTGTATTAAAGTATTAGCGCGTTTTTAAAAACATTGTTCACCATGGTCGAAAATATTTCGAGACATACATATAGTATGCCATACAATAGCGTATAGAGTGAGACAGTGAAACCGATTATGATATTTTTGTTTATATCTCGAGTGATCGGCCAAACAATTATATCTAATAATGCCGGTGCTTGAGAGAGCGGGGGAGGGCAGGGCTAAAGGGGTTCCCATATATACTGTATGTATATACTGGGTATATATGGTAAATGTCGGGCACCGGTAGTCATCATTGAATGTCCCCTTTTCCTTAAGTGCGGTGTAAGTCGTCTGTTGTGATTGAATACAAGTTATAATACAAACGACTAGAAAAATGTAACTATCGTTGAGTTAGAGAGAGAGAGAGAGAGAGAGAGTCAAGCACTTGAAAAGTTAAAACTTTGTCCACAATAAATGCCAAAAGCTTTCATAGAGGAGAGAGAGAGAGAGAGCTGAGAGAGCTAAAAGAGACAAATACAACACAACACGACTTGGTAACAATGAATTACATGCCAGCAGTCGATACGGCACTGTTAACCTGGCTATTACTTAGAGCCCATGTGTTTAGTATTGTAGAGCCACTGGCAGTCGCTTTTGAGGGGACAAATGACAATTGAGCGAGATGCACTTTCCGGCTTTAAGCTATTATATACCCCCTCTCCAAGATTTATCTCGTTCACTCTCACTATGGCTTAAGCCATACGGTATGTATACCTAAATAACAAGTATGTGTGTGTGTATACCCTCGGTGCTTTTGTCGGTAGAATTATTGAGATAATTTGTCTGTGCTATAAGAATTTGTTTCCCATTAGATATGGTTTTGTTTTCAATGAGTGAAATATAATTTCTTGGGATAAAACCTTTGCTTATTATGTGGTATTAAATATTATTAACAATTTTCTGGGGGTATTTTGAATCCATGGCTACCAGTTCTCTCTCTCTCTCTCTCTCTCTCTCTCTCTCTCTCTCTCTAATAGAAAAAATTACGAATCATTTGATACAAATATACAGTCGTTTTTTAATTAATTTATAAATAAATATTATTCACAATTAAAAAGTTTGACTCAAAATAATTATACATTAATTAAGTTATTATAAATTTTTGGCACATTTTACACGTTATATAAAGTATAGACATTAAAAATGAAGCAAATAATTAAACATTTTCATCGGAAATCTAATAACAATTAAATGATTGAAAGAGAATTTTTTCAGTCAATATTTGTAAACAATTAACTGATAAAACAGAGAATAAAGTATAGACATTAAAAATGAAGCAAATAGTTAAACATTTTCATCGGAAATCTAATAACAATTAAATGATTGAAAGAGAATTTTTTCAGTCAATATTTGTAAACAATTAACTGATAAAACAGAGAAAAATTGTAATAAAATAGCATTTGTTATTAAAAAATGTCGAGAATATAGTCGTCGGTAAAATAGTTGCCACAAAACAAAAAGTTTTCGTTTCAATTAAAAAAAATTATATTAAATATATATTAGAAAATCTCTTAAACAACGAGTGATAGTCTATGAGAGGAATCACTAGATTGTTATCAATCGGTACCAAAAAAAGAGGAAAAATAAATTAAAAAATTTGAACATAAATTCACAAAAATGAAGAAATGAACGCTATATAAATGCAGTGAACATTTTGGGCCACAAAATGCCTAATAATTGCTAAATATTTGTATGTTTTTACAATTGGTTACAATTAAATAGAGTATTTATGCTTAGGATTTGTATAATAAGCTATAGGTTTGTGAACAAGTCATTGTAATTATGACACAATAACTGTGTTTTTAAGACTTATATATAGATTTAGTCGCAATTCAACGCTAAATGACTTATATTATGAATAGAAGTATTCATTTTTCTTTTAAAAAACAACCGGTAAAATGCTTTCAAAATAATTAATGTCTAAAATAATTATTTCTTTCTTTCATTACTTTAAAATAACAATCATTTTTCAGTCACAATCGATACAAAACATCGATAATTATATTAATAATAAAAATATAAGACTAAACTTTTCGCCATTGAATGAACAAAGAAATGGACGAAAATTATTCGGTGTTTGAGACCACTATTGAACAACAAAATCATAAAAACAACAAAAAGCACATAAAAATATATGGCATACAAAAAAAAGCCGTCAAACTGTCGGCTGTTGTTTCTAAGGCTAAGCTAAGGGATGGTCGCTATCATTAGAGTAGATATCTTTGGATTCATCATTACTGTTGACTTCGTTGTCCGAAATGAGAAGATTTCGTTTCTCTTCGTCGGTGTTCTGTTGGCATTCATACAAAGGGTTCGCAAAATTTGTACTCTTTTTCGGGTTAACGGGGGATAAGAAAAACATTTTTATTGCACTTGTTTTTGGGTTTAAATGCAAACAAGAGTTGACAGAGAGGTGTAAAAACGGATTATAACACATACCTTATCGTTCACTTCGAGTGCAAAAGTACGGCTCAATGCGTGAGTAGGGCTGAGGTCGTCGTCAAAGTCGTCGCCGCCGAACATAGGATTACTGATCTCGACGTTGGCTCCGGTCTCTTGCATACGCCGGTGAAGGAATGCACGGTTACTGACAAACAATTACATAACAATCGGTCAATACATTCGACAACAAAAAGAATGGCATTTTTAAAGATATATTTATATATCGTTTAATTCATACCTTTTACGTATTCTGAATGTGAAGACACCGATGAACACAACCAAAAACAGTATCAAAACAATGGCAACGGGTATCACAGCTATTAATATCCATTTTGTTGTTGTGTCCAAACTGTACGCCGAATCGCTTCCGCTTTCGTACGAATCCGAAGACTTGAGGATTAGATTCTCGCAACGAAGGCCAGCGAACCCTTGAGCGCACCTTTACGTCAAACAAGTGGTTAAAAGTGTCATAAAAACCCATTGAAAACATTAAACTATAATGAAAATAAAAATGCAAATAAAATCAACTAACAAACAAACGGGTAGTCTATCGGAATCAACTGATGGCATACAAGTGCCGCCATTCAAACAAAATGCATGACAATCGATACTATGCTCACAACGCGGGCCGACCCAACCCTTAACACATCTGAAAGGGTATTTCAAACGCAACGAAAACAATTAAACATAAAATAATGTCCAAAAATAAATAAAGTACAGTAAAAATGGACACTCACTCGCATTTGGGGCCAAATTCTCGTTTATCGGACACAATACAAGTGCCGCCGTGTAAGCAGAATGAGTTGCACATCGGGTTCTGGGGGTCTTCGCAGCTCTTACCCGTCCAGCCGTTAGTACACTGACAATAGGGCTCTTTACTCATCATACAGTGGCCACCGCTGAGACACTCGAATTCTTCGCAGTTCTTGGCGATCGAGCGCTCGCAAGTGGCGCCCATAAAGTAGGGCCGACAGAGGCATGTGTTGCGGCCGTGTTCTGACTTTGTGGGGATACAAGTGCCGCCATTACGACAGCCGCACTTGTTTTGTTCGCACCGTTTACCCTGATATCCTTCCGGACAAACACAGGCCGCCTTCTTAGCCGTCCGCTGACACGTACCGCCGTTCAGACACGTCTCGCGACAGTTGTCCTGATCGCAGCGTTTGCCACTAAAGCCCGGATAACATGAACACTGCGGCAACCCGTTCACGATCGTACAGTTGCCGCCGGCGCCGTCACAGTAGTTATCGCACGTAGAGTTCTCACATTTATCACCGAAAAAGCCTAAATATTCAAATAGTAATCAATGGCTAGACTTTATGTATGAAATAATTGTCATACCTGTTGAGCACTGACACCCATACGATTGGTCCTCCCGTTTATAACAATGACCAGAATTCTCACATTTCAATGAATAACAGTTTTCGCACTTTTGGCCGAAATAGTCGGACAGACACGTGCAGATCGGGACCCCGTTCTGTATATAACATGTGCCGGCATTGAGGCAAAAGTTGTCGCAAATACGCGACGGTGTTTCGCATCGATCGCCCACCCATTCCGGAGAGCACTCGCACTTCAACGGCGGATGATTCGGGTTATTATTGTTGGCCATGAGATCGGGATAGCAGTGACCCTTATTCTTGCAATAACCCGAACACTTGTATCGGTCGCAAAGCGCGCCGTCAAAGCCGGCCCTACACTCGCACTTTGGCGTGTCGTCGAGATTGTGAATACAAGTGCCGCCATTCAGACACTCCAACTCGCATTTGTTGCGAACTGCCGTCAATGGCGTGCAGACAACCGATCCCTCGCCGACCGGCGTTTCGCTCATGTCGTTACTGCACAGACAGACAGCTTTCGTCGAGTTCTGAGCCACACAGAGGGCTCCCTCTCCGCAGCGTTTATTACTACACGGCGTCGAAATATTATGATTTTGTTTGTTCTCCTGAACGATGACAACGTCCGAAGCCTTCTGGAGACCGCGGACTAAGTGAGTGATGTTTCCGACACCGAATTTGTTGAGTCTAAAGATGGCGTTATTGTGAAAAGTGCTCACAAAGAGGTTGTCCTCAAACACTTCGATTTTGTACGGTTTGTCTTCGGATGAGTTAAATGTTTTGACAATATGTCTGTTCTTTCCGTTAATATCGATTGTCTCAATAGTGGCCGCTTTCGGGTCCGTCCAATAGATACGGTCGGCCGCGTAATCAATGGCCAGTCCTGTCGGCCAAACCAGACTCCTCTCCACTAATGTTCTTCGCATTGTTCCGTCCAAACGAGCTCTGGATTCGGATTAAAATTATTATCACTTTAATTAATGGAGAGATCTATTAAATAATGAGACAAACCTCTCAATCTTGGCCTTTCGGCCCCAATCTGTCCAAAATATATAACCATTTTTGGGATCAACAATGATATCGTGCGGTTGATCCAAGTCGTCGCTAATCAGAGTTCGCTTAACCACACCATCGATTGTGGCCACAGTGATAGTGGCGGCCCCGGCATCGATCCAATACAAGTTCTTTCCAATCCAATCAACGGCTATACCGCGCGATGCGACCAAACCCTGAGCGATGGCCTGAGGTTGTGAAGAGTTCTGAAATATATCTCGCTTTCGGCGATTCGATGACTTATCGGACTTATTAGTGACAATCTTCTCGTCAATCATCGGCGCATCGAATCGATAGACACTTCGGGTGTGAAATGAGGAGGTTGTGAAGAGTTCTGAAATATATCTCGCTTTCGGCGATTCGATGACTTATCGGACTTATTAGTGACAATCTTCTCGTCAATCATCGGCGCATCGAATCGATAGACACTTCGGGTGTGAAATGAGGTCCAAAAGAGGGTCACTTTGTCCGACTCGTACATCACGTCAAACGAGTCAATACGGCTCACTTTCGATACGTTGGAAAGTATGTCAATCAACGCCTGCACCGAGTGTTTGTATGGATTCACTTTTCTCAGGCCATTCTCACTGGCGACCAATAGCACTGCGGGCTCACCCGCGGCCACACACGTGGTCGTAGTATTTCCGCTGGGCTTTCGCTGATAGCCCGGAGCGCAGGCACACGAGTCGTGTACCGAATGATTGCTACTCTTTTTGGCCAAACAGACCTGAGAACAGGTGCCGAACCGACACGTAGTGCTCCGATCGCAGCCCTCCTCATCGCTACTATCGCCGCAATCGTCGTTACCGTTGCACACGTCCGACGAGTCGATGCACTGTTTGTTAGAGCACTGGAACTCATTCGGCAGACAGTGTTTGTGTTGAGCGCAGAACTCTTTCTCCTCATCGCTGCCGTCGCCGCACGAGTTCTTTCCGTCGCAAACCTTTACCATAAAATTTAGCGGCAGTGTTTGCGTTTGTCCCGAAAATTTTGTTCTCCATTCAGACAACAGGACGTGTCATAACAATTGTACGACCAGTCAGTTTGTGTGCAATTCAACGTATAATTGTATACCATTTTGGTGGCAGTGCGGTATGTGTTGCCTCATTAAACATGACACTTGTGATGCCTATTGTGTATTTAATTAATTTTTTTTTAAATATTTGTTTATTAAAATAGATTCTCAAGACGATTGCGGCGATGGTTCGGGTGAGTCCTGTCGACTATTAAAACATTTATTAATTTAAATCTAATGATTGTGTTTAAAACTCACAGACGAACCGTCAGATTGTCGGCCGTTTCACTGCAATCCCGGTCAGTTCCAGTGCGATAACACCCATTGCATACCTCCCAATCAGTTGTGCGATGCCATCAGTCAGTGCGGCGACGGTTCCGATGAAAAGGATTGCGGTATTAATTGGCACTAAATTGTGAAAATTGTTTTAAAATATGGTTTTAATTATATATTGACAATATTTAGACAAATATACGTGTCTTCCGAGTCAATTTAAATGCGCGGCTAATGAGACGGTTGGCGCCCATTGTATTAGTATAACGAGTCGATGCGATGGCATAAACGACTGTCCACTCAAAGAAGATGAGGAAAACTGTCGTAAGTTATGACACAAACAGAGCCAACAATTTAGGCCAAAGATTTTCTTTCTTTTAAGTGCATGTCATTTGTTTTTATTTAAATAAAGATTTGTTTTATTTTGTTTTAAACTAGCGTTTAATTTGAGATCAAATCACAATTTATTACTCAATAAATTAAAACAAACTTCAACAACACATACAGTATATATTTGATTGTTTTATCCAATGATATGTTTGCCGTTTTAGCTGAGAAAGTGTGTCAAAGCAATCAACACAAGTGCGATAATAATCGATGCATACCTCAGGTGTGGACCTGCGATGGTATGTAGTTTTATCCATACAATCAATCATAGAATTGTTGTTGTTTTTCATTTAATTATATTCTTGCCGTTTGATTACTATTAAAGGGGACGACGATTGCGGTGATAATAGCGACGAACCGGTCAACTGTACGGCTCGGAAATGTGCCAATAATTACTTTAAGTGCGAAACCGGGCGATGCATTCCTCTCAGGTTTGTCACCATTTGATTGTCTATTAGACGCAAAAAATTGCAATTAATTGCTGGACTAATTGACAGCTGGAAATGCGACGGCGATCACGACTGCGTCGGTCAAGAGGACGAGCAATCGTGTAAAGACAAACCGTCGTCTTGTGGTGACAATTACTTCCACTGCGACAACAATAAGTGCATTCCCAGTGAGTTATTACTCGTTTAGCAGACCAGTGGGTCTGTGTCTATGCCGAGCGCTGATATAACCTGTTGTTGCGGTCATATATTGTTGTGCAGACCGATGGAAGTGTGACTTTGAGGACGATTGCGGCGACGGTTCCGACGAACTCAAGTGTCAGCCCAGAGAGTGCTCGGAAGATGAGTTCCGGTGCGCAAACGGACGGTGTATTCGGTCGATGTGGAGATGCAATGGTGTCTACAATTGCGAGGGTATGTCCTCAACCCCTGTCTGAGACTCTGGTCATGGAGTCTTGAGTCTGAAGTCTGAAGTCTGTCATTGATTTATGTGATTGATTGCAGATAAAAGCGATGAAAACAATTGTAACGTTACGTGCAATCAGAATGAGTTCCAGTGCCAGGACAGCAACTTCTGTGTACTCAACGACTGGAAATGTGATGGTTTGTACACTATACGACTCATCCGTATTATAATTTATCAATATATGATTGAGAAATAACTGAATGACTTGTGATTGCATTATAAATATAGCGTTATATTCATTGATACTTTTGAACAATGTTTTCAACTTTACATTTCAATTGTAATGCCTTTTACAACATAAATATTGAGAAATAATTGATCAATGATTTCACGTTTGAATGAATGGAATTGTTTGCAAATATGAAACAGTACTCATAATGTGGTCAATGAATGTAAAGTTTACAATACAATTGAAGTTCAAATACACAAAACTCATTATTAAATATTTAGATATTTGTAGTAAATTGACATTGAGTCAAAATTAGAGATTGAAAAGATAGTACTAGTATTGCAATACAATACAAATACTGATAATATTGCAATATTGGCAAAACTTTGACAATATTCTTGCAATACTGCAATATTTTGATAATATTCTTGCGATATTCTTGCAATATTACAATATTTCGGTAATATTTTTGCAATATTCCTGTAATATTACAATATTTCGGTAATATTTTTGCAATATTCTTGTAATATTACAATATTTCAGTAATATTTTTGCAATATTCTTGTAATATTACAATATTTCAGTAATATTTTTGCAATATTCTTGTAATATTAATAAAATATTGTGAATCGTACTCTTAGAGAATACCGAAACCATACCAAATTGGTACTGTATTACCAATACCCAAAAATTCAATTTTCAATCACTATTAAAAATACAGTGAACATCAATGCATCAATTATTATTCAATTATTATTAATATTTTGAGAAGTTATATGTTTAGAAACCTTATCTTTTAAACCTATTTAACACAAACTCAAGTATAACACTATAACTGTATACACAATAGGAGACGCCGACTGTCCGGACTCTTCGGATGAGAAGCATTGCGGCCACACATGTATGGCATCCGAATTCCTGTGTCATAACCAGCAATGTATTAGCGCTTTGTGGCGATGCGATGGTCTGTTCACACAATTTAATTGCCATTTGTATTGTCTATTCAACACTTACACCCACTTTACAGGCGAAGACGATTGCGGCGACAATTCCGATGAAGATCGGGCCACGTGTTCGGCGATGGCCTGTCCTCCCGGACGGTTCCGATGCAAGAATAATATATGCATTTCCAATGACAGGGTATGTCATCGATGAGTGTTATTCTGTGTTCACTTCTTGTTCGCTAAAAATTGTGGTAAATTTTATGGTAAAGGTTTGCGACGGAAAGAACTCGTGCGGCGACGGCAGCGATGAGGAGAAAGAGTTCTGCGCTCAACACAAACACTGTCTGCCGAATGAGTTCCAGTGCTCTAACAAACAGTGC